GAAGGTCTCCTGGTCTAATTAGCATATTATCCTTTTATTAATATATATATATATATATATATATATATATATATATATATATAAAGAATAATACTACACATGCTGTTCTGTGCCTTGTTTTTTCCACAATAGTATGTATGGACAGCTGCCTTAATTTAACCAGTCCCTTCTTCATGAGGTATTGCAGCAAATCCTTGTTTCTACTGCAACAAATACTGCAGTGCAAGTAACATAACATGCTAATTAATGCCAGTATTTATGAAGAATAAAGTCTAAGAATTGAGTCTGCTCGATAAAAGAGTAAGGTACCTATATTGTACATTTTTTCTAGGTATTAACAAATAGCCCACCAAAAAATGACAGTTCTCCTCATCCCCCTAACTGTATCCGACTGCACTGTCGAACTATATAGCAGGCCTCTATTGAACCAACCCCAAATAGCAACGCTGACCAAAGAATCACAAAGTCTGAAGGGAGGGTGAAAACTAATACTTAAGTACCAGAAACTGCACTTGAGCTTTAGAGTACCTCTTTCATGCAATGATCCTATAAGGTGAGTGGCATTGTCTCCATTTTTTTAAATGAGTTTATTTGAACCGAACTGATGATGTGCAGGGAAGCAAGATGTCCTTGTCTCCATTTTTGATAAGAGGAAACGAAGGCTCAGAGAGCTTCCTCCATGTTATACACAGCTTTATAAGTAACCAGGCCAGCATGTGAACGAACCCAGGCAATCTGGTACCAACGTGAGACCACACAGAGCTGTCCCAAACTAGGGCCAAAAGTAATGAGTTCTTTTAAAAAACCAGTGCTCCTGGTTAACCAGGAAGAAGGTGGTGCCAAAATGTTTGCTCACAGGGTCATATGTCGATTTCATGCTACTGCAGAGTCATATTTCTCCCATTCAGACTTTGCCTATGAACCCACTCTCAGGCTGTGCTTAGCAATCCAGCTCCAACAAAGCAACCATGAGCCTACGGGCCACAGAACCTCGAGGGGCTGACCCCCATGGACTTGGAAAGTTGATAGGCGGGGAGCAGAGGGGAAACAAGAAGCAGGTGGTAGGCTAGCGTGGCCAACTTAGATATTTTGGAGCCGTATCAGTTGTCACAAAAACATTATGGGGGAAGTGGAACTACTGAACACATGAGAGAGAACCACAATGAACTGCCGCAGTCTGTTTATACCAGCTTTCCCTGCCTTGAACACTTGCTATTTCTGCTGCACAGACATGCTGTGCCCAGTAACTTTAGGATGGCACTTAATCACTACTGGGCCAGACAGCTGGGATCTCCCTGCCCTGACAAAACAGGTTAGACTGGTGGCCTTGCCTGCTGCCATGCAGCTCCCACGGCAAGGTCTGGAGCACTGCTTTCAACTTCCCTGGAGTCTGGTCTGTGGTTACCTTCCATTGTAGCTGTCTGTCTGGGGCTTTTGTCAGGGAGGAGTGCTTATAACTCTTTCTTGGTTGATGGGGAAGTTCTTTCCATTTAAATGGTAAGCATTCACAGGGTATCTGTCTCTTATTGTCCTTAGGTCCTCTGCACCAAAGTAAGTGTTGTTATTGGATCTATTTGTGCACATCACTCCTAATGTAACATCAGCTATTCATTGGTAATAATGGGATAAAAAGGAGGAGGGAGGAAGGGGAAAATTCTTCCCCTTCCCTCATATTGTCTCAGTTCCAGGAACAGGGCTCCAGAAGCTCCACGGATACAGACAATTGAAAGGTCACAGGAACCTGACAACATAATGTGACGTAAATAGGGAGAAGTGGGCATCAAATTGGATGATCTGAGGAGCATCTTAAAATACCATCACAAATGCCACAGAATGAGGGCATGGACCCACTTCCATAGTTTAAAAATCAAATAGCACAAAAGGGTATAGATTGATGTCTCCCTCCCACCTCTATGTCACAGACACCCAGTTCCTACCCACTCTCCCGCCCATCATGGAAACCAATGTGACTTAGTCTATTGCATGCCCTTCCACAGATATTTTATGATTATACTGGCCAATATATATTATCACAATTCATTTTAATACATTACTACATATATAAAAGCCTTCCCTCTCAGATTAAAGTACCACTTAAATATCTTTAAGTGGCAGATATTCGATTTTTTGAATTTTTTTTATTGATTTCAGAGAGAGAAAGGAAGAAGGAGAGAGAAATATCAATGATGAGAGAGAATCATCAACCTGCTGCCTCCTGCAGCCAGGGCATGTGCCCTCGACTGGGAATTGAACTGTGATCTCGTGGTTCATAGGTCTATGCTCAACAACTGAGCACCCCCAGCTGGGAAGAAATTAGATTTTTTTTTTTAATTTCAAAATGAAGAGTTTTGACATTCACAGTTGAACTCTCACTCATAAAAATTTGGCCACATTCAAAAGTTAAATTGTTTACCTCCAGAAATGAAGTTGGTCACCAGCATGCAGCAAGTTTCCTTGGGTTGTTTTGTCCCTTATTACTCAGAGGCAATAGGACAATTACTCACTTCCTCTATTGATCTCAGCAAATGCAATCTGAATGCTTACTATTAAAAAAGAGAAGTCCTGAAAAATCTGTACTGCATCTACTTGTGTTCAAAGATTTTCAAATTGAATTTTTTATCAGAATCACAACAGTCTTCAGTACATAATGAATAATGAGCTAATCAAATGACATTAGAATTCAGATTGGGGAAGCATCTTGAAACAGAGAGTAAATATCCCTAAAAGAGATAAATGTTTTCTCACAATTACAGGCAACCACATCAAAATATTAGTATTTGGGCCCTAGCTGGTTTGGCTCAGTGGATAGAGCATCGGCTTATGGACTGAAGGATCCCAGGTTCAATTCTGGTCACAGGCACGTGCCTGGGTAGTGGGCTTGATCCCCAGTGGGGGGCGCGCAGGAAGCAGCCCATCAATGATTCTCTCTCATCACTGATGTTTCTATCTCTCTCCCTCTCCCTCTCCCTCTCCCTCTCCTCTCCTCTCTGAAGTCAATAAAATAAATAAATATTTTTTAAATATATATAAATATTAGTATTTGGTATAACCCAGGACATCTATATTGACAAACTAAATTTCTTAAGACATTTCAAAGTAATACTAAAACCCAAAGATGTAGTACAAAAATTACACAGTATGCTATGAGACGAAGTCACCTTTTCTGAACAATCATCAATTAAACCAGATTTTGGTAACATGAAATGAAACAGCAGTGTAGCATGGCCCCAACGACTAAAAAGCTTGTGATGAGTTTAAAAAGTACATATCAGCAAAGGAAAATTCCACTGCTGTTTCTAAGCCTTAAGATGAAGGTGACTGAGCTCCTAAGAACATGGAGTACTCCTCAGAAAATGTGTTTTTTTTAATCCCCATTTATTTTCTATGCACTTGAGTATGTATTTATGAGCCTGTCAAAGCTACCTTCTAAAAGTATTTCACATTGTACTTTAATGAACTGGATATAGGGGTTATAAAACCAAAATATTTTCAAGGCTACATGATATAAAGGCAATCTTCACTTGCATTACGGCTCAGAGTCCATCGCCAGAAATGACAACGTTCTTGAACACCCCACTCTGCTCTCTGCTCAGGAAACCCCCTAGCTTAACTGCAGCCTTGGTTTCAAACATTTGTCACCAACTGACACAAACCACAAAGCTCAAGAACGACCAGGCATCCAGGCCAAAGATTATACCTGTAATTTGCAACAACCAAACTCAGTTTTGGACGTGGTCCTGTTTCCATTCAAGATCTGTGGAGGCCAATACCCCGTGAAAAGTCCAGGACTCCCCACAGCACTTCGTAATCTTGGGCTGTCAACAACCAATCAAGAACCAATCAAGGCTCAGGGCCAAGGGTAATTTTCACATTAAAGATTAAGGTGTCTGCTTTCCATTCTCTCCTGAATGGAAATTGAGTGGAGAGATCTCTCCAGTAGAAGTGATAAAGTCAAACGCTGCCTATTGGGAACAGTTGTGAAGTGGGCTCATTTATTTCACATGAGGACGCTCACGTGGGCTTTAACACTACTGCATTAAATTCAAAATGAGAATACTTGGTTCCAGTTTGGAGTCATGGAGAGGGCGCAGTCGGGGGGCATTGTCGGGGGTGGGGGGAGAGGGGGAAGATGATTCGGATTATGGCTAAATGACACCGATGTAATGACAGGAGATTTGTAAGGGCCTCTGTGCAGGTGACACACCATGTGCCATTAAATCCAGAAAAGCATGGTGGCATCAGCCCACCCGTCACAATAAAAGAAGGCTGACTCCGGAATGAAAACCACTACTTATCCTCTTCATACAGTCACAAACGTTTCTTCAAAGTCGTGCCCCTGTTATGATCTGAGGAAAACAAAAGCTCCTCTCCGCCTGGAGAGGGCAAGGAATTGGATATAACTTCCCGCCTGGACACAAGGGTGAAAGGCGTGCGGACGTGGCTGAGCACCGCTCTGGGTCCTGACCCGCACTCACCTTTCTGGGCGCTTCATGTTCCCAGTTTATTCACCAGAGAAACACAGATCTCAGCACTGGACGACCATGGACGTGGCATCCACCAGGCCCCAGCAGCCCCTACCAAGCCAAGCCCTCAGCCCTCGCCCCCACCCTCACTGTGGCCTGACTCCTGGGGTGGCGCGGTCCCTGGCGAAGTCACCCCCTCCTGCCGGGTCACACACACCCTGCTGAGCTGAACTGGGGGACGGGGGTTCGGATCGCGATGGGGGGCAGGGGCAAGCCAGCACCCGGGGAACAGAATAGGCCCCCTCTGTGCCTTCCCTTTTCCTGGTTCCCCATGAAGAGACGTCGAAACGGGGTGGGGTTCTTTTTAACGGTCACATGCAGACAGCTGACCTTGGGAACCCACACCGTCTCCGCGGGAAAAGGAACGAAACACGTTGTGACTGAAGGGGGAGCCCAGGGAGGCACGAGGGAGGGGTCGCGCCGCGGCCGGGCCGCCCGAGGGGTGTCGGGGTGCACGGGCTCGGCTGGGGTGCTCACCGTAGATCATGGCCAGCCCAGTCTCGTGCAGGAAGCGCACCCGGCGGTGCTTAAAGAGCCAGATGGTGAGGATGGTGAGCGTGAGCAGCAGGATGAAGGTGAGCAGGCTCACGCTGTCCTGCCGGTGGCTCTCCTCCGCCTCCTTCTCGGTGGCGAGCTCCTCCATGGCGCTGCTGTCCTCGGCCGCCGCCCCAGAGGAGGAGGCCGCGGCCGCGACACGCAGCCCCCGACCCAGCAGCAGCGGCGGCAGCAGCAGCAGCGGCGGCAGCCGCGGTGGCAGCGCCCGGGCTGCCCGCCCCAGGCCGAGGCGCGCCGCGTCCCCGCCGGGCTCCATGGTCCCTCCGCTGCCCGCGCCTCCTGCGCGCGCGGACCGGCAGCCCGCGCCGTCGGGGGGTGGACTTGGCGCCGCCGCCGACCTGCCCCGCCGGAGTGGCGCTCGGTGGCCGCCGCAGCTCCTCCTCCTGCTGCCGCCGCTGCGGGCGCCCGGTCGGGGGAGGGGAGCGCGCAGTGCGCAGGATCCCCAAGCACCGCCCCCCGCCCGCGCACCTGTTCGGCCCCCAGCCGCGCGGGGCCCAGCGTGGGCCGGCCACGGCAGCGGGCTTGGCTGTGGTCCGCCGATCCTCTAGCCAGCTCCCCCCCGCCTCCCCCCCACCCCCCGGCCGATCGGCGCCCCTCCCCCCAGTCCTGGCGTACCTGGCCAGGCCGTCTGGGTTCGCGGAGTCCCAGAATGTGCCAGGCTTCCTTCAAACCTCTGCTCTAGTCGGCCAGAAAATGAGAACCCACAGGGGGTCGGGATGGGAAAGAGCTGACTTCTTCATTCTGGGAAAGGGGTGGAAGGAACTGAACATCTGCCACTCCAGGTAGAGGAGCAGCGGGGTGAGGGGGCCGGGGATGACGCTGGTGGTCCTTTTACCTTGACCTTTTGGTAGCCCAGGAAAGCTTTGGAGGATTCTTAGGACCAGGCCCATCTCTGGGGGAAAAAAATATATAAAGTGTCTGAAACATGAAACCTCTTGGAAGAAATTCTCAGGAGCTAGAATTTTCAATGCATCTCGTTCTTCTGGTCAAGGAAGAAAGGAGACCAAATTGTGAAATCGCTGAACTCCCAGTGCCTAGCACTGAACTCGTAAAGTGTTTATTGAAAGGCATACCAACTACCCAGATTTCTCGCCCAGAGGCGTTTGCACTTTTAAGAAGGAAGCAATGCTGAGCTAAAAGAAGTCATAATAGGGTAGGCCTGGCATTAGGTAGGAAAGGTATTTAGGCTAAGGTAGCCTTCCTGGTTCCCCTCTAAGTGAACACTCTGGCAAGCCTGCTTAGGACCTTCTTGAAGCAAGACAATTACTTCATATAGACTTTAGCTGGAGTCTTTCCTATTCCTCCACTGTCACCCAGCCCCTGCAAAAATCATATACCTTGAAGTTCCATGCAGGTTCTTTTTTTTTTTTAAATATATTTTATTGATTTCTTACAGAGAGGAAGGGAGAGGGATAGAGAGCCAGAAACATCCATGAGAGAGAAACATGGATCAGCTGTCTCCTGCACGCCCCCCACTGGGGATGTGCCCGCAACCAAGGTACATGCCCCTGACCGGAATCGAACCCGGGACCCCTGAGTCTGCAGGCCGAAGCTCTATCCACTGAGCTAAACCGGTTCTGGCTCCATGCAGGTTCTTAATGCAATAGCAAACCCTAAAGATCTGGATGGTGACAGAGAAAGTTATACAATAATGGGAAAACTTGATCTAATTTCTGGAGACTCATTAAAATCCATGTTTGCTGAAAAATGGCCATATTGATCATCACATTTAACATTACGCCCTCTTGGGTCTCCAAAAGTTAAAAACAGAAGTTCTCTCTATATAGCTCATACTGAGCACAACTCAGGAGCTACTTTACAGGTACAAAATTCTTAGTACATGTAGCAGATTATATTTTCCAAAAATGCCCACAACCATATTCCAATCCCACATGCTCTTGCAGAACCGTGTCGCTCGCCTGTCAATAAATGGCATCTATGTTCCCAACCCTTGAACTTAAGTGGACCCTTGTGACTGCCTCAAAGAATAGGATGTGGCAATGGAGACGGATAACCTGTGAAGCGAAGTCATAAAAGGCAATCTAGTGTCCACCTGGCTCACTCTCATGCTCTTGTTCTCCACTCGCTGTGCAGCCCTGACCTTCCATGTAAGAAATCTAGACTACAATGAGATACCACCTCACACCCGTCAGAATGGCTGTCATCAAAAAGACCAGAGATAACAAATGCTGATGAGAATGTGGAGAAAAGGGAACCCTTGGGCACTGTTGGTGAGAATGTAAATTGGTGCAGCCACTAGGAAAAATAGTATGGGGTTACTTCAAAAATTAAAATTAGAACTCCCATATGATCCAGCAGTCCCACTTCTAAGTCTATATCCAAAGGGAATGAAAACAGTATCTCAAAGAGATATCTGCACTCCCATGTTTTTTACTCACAATAGCTAAGATATAGGAAGTGTCTATCAATGGATAAATGGATAAAGAAGATCACACATACACACACAAAGTGGACTATTCAGCCATGAGACAGTAGGAAATCCTGCCATTTGCAAAACATGGATGGATCTTGAAGGCATTATATTAAGTGAAATAAGTCAGACACAGAAAGACAAATACTGCATTATGTCAGAAAGTAGAATGGTGGTTACCAGGGCCCGCGGGTGGGGAAATGGGGAGCTGATGGTCAAACTTCCATTTATAAGATGAATAAGTTCTGGGGAACTAATGCACAACATGGTGACTATAGATAACAACACTATACTGTATACTTGAAAGTTGCTGAGAAAGTAGATCTTAGATGTTCTCACCACAAAAAATGAAATGATAATTCTGTGACATGATGGAGGTGTTAGCTAACACTATGGTGGTAATCATATTGTAATATATGTGTATCAAACCAACATGTTGCACACCTTAAACTTACACAATGTTATATGTCAATTATATATCAATAAACGTAGAAAATAAGAAATCTACCTACCTTGAAGTTGCTGTGCTGGAGAAACCATATAGAAACAGAAATAAACACCACAGGAGCCCCAACTGTTTAAGTGTCCCCAGGCCATATACCGCATACATGAATGAGTGAGCCTTCAAATTATTTCATTATTTTTCATAGTGGCTGCACCAATTCACATTGCATATAAACAAGGAAACACCACCTAGCTGACCCTAATCAATGACCTATGAGATAATACTAAAATGATTTGTTATTTTAAGCTACTAAATTTAAGTGATTTATTCCAGAGTGATAGATATCCAGAAGAGTATTTATAGTATAAAGCTGTTGCCTCATGTAGAGTATGAAAAAATTATTCCCAACACAAATATACTCCAAAGAGAACACTCCATCATCTATACAATACAAGGGTTCTGATCCCAGTTAACACAGAACAATAACAATCAACCCATTCTCTCCCACTGAATGCAGCAATAAACCTGAACAGAATGCATGGAGCAACTACTTAAGGACTTTAAAACATAAATTGCACCAGGTAAATTGAAGACGAACACCAGAATTTGAAGTATAACAACTGGCAGTGAGTTAATTCTTTTTTCCCTCCAGTAGCCACTGTACTGGACGTAAGACAGCCCAAATCCCAGAAGAGGGCATCAACATGGACAGAGAGCACCAGTAAGAGTAGGAAATAGATCTAAAGTTCAGAAAAAGTAACAAAGAACACCATTTTTTTCTTTTTTTCAATTCTCTCGCACCCTAACCAATAGGCAATCTCCCTTTGACAGTGACAATGGAGGGAGCGGTGCTATGAAGTGCTTAAAATGCTAAGGGATAGAGGACCCTTCCTCTATGGTTGGAGTAGCTAAGGTTCCCAAATAGTGGGGGCAAACCCCCATTGATATTTGTCCTCCTGCTTCTTGGCCCCAGATATGGGCAAAGTTGCAAGAAGTGCAAAGCAGAGGGAAGTAAACAATGACTCAGATTTCTTTCCAAAGGATCAAAATGGGGAACTCCAAAGAACTGCAAAGTAGTAGGAAAATTATGGAGAGGGAGGCATTTGGGGGAAAGAATCCTATCAAGTCATTATGAACTCCTAGATTCACCTTGACCGGCGTGGGGGTCTGATCTTAAACAACATACCAAAGACTGTGATAATTGAGCTAAGAACCAGATCATCAGGTCTCTAGAGCAGTGGTTCTCAACCTTCTGGCCCTTTAAATACAGTTCCTCATGTTGTGACCCAACCATAACATTATTTTCGTTGCTACTTCATAACTGTCATGTTGCTACTGTTATGACTCGTCATGTAAATATCTGATATGCAGGATGGTCTTAGGCGACCCCTGTGAAAGGGTTGTTCGACCGCCAAAGGGGTCGTGACCCACAGGTTGAGAACCACTGCTCTAGACTAGCCACTGGATAAAACACCTGTGAGACAGTTCTAAATAACACTGCAAAGTTTTGAAAAATGAAGTGACTTTGGAGCCATAATCCACAAAAGGCAGGTCAGAACTTGTGATCTGGACTCAACCATGTTGACTACAAACTAAAACAAATATATGTTCCTCCTTAGGATTAAAACAAGATATAAGACCCCACAGCACACTATTAAATATGTCCAGGATACAAGCCAAAAATTTTCAGCACATGAAAAACCAAAAAAAATCTCAACTACCAGTTGCCTATTGAAGAGGCAATCAATGGACACCAAATGCTGAGATGACACGACACAAATATTTGAATTATCTAAAAAATAATTTGAAGCCGGTGTTATAAAAAAATGTTTCAATAAGTGAGAGCAAACAATCTTGAAATGAGTATAAAGATAGAAAGTCTCAGCAAAGGAGTGAGAGAAAAGAAGAACCAAATTGAAATGTTATAACTGAAAATATAATAACTGGAATTTTAAAGGTAACTAGATGGGCTCAATAGCAAAATAAGGATGAACAAGTCAGTAAATGTGAAGATAGAACAAGAGAACTTATCCAACCTAAACAACAAAGAGGAAAACTTGAGAGGTAAATGAACATAACCACAAGGATCTGTAGAATAATAACAAAAGGTCTAACATTCACGCCTTTGGAATGTCAGGAAAAGAGAAAGAGTGTAATGCAGAAAAAAAATAGGTGGATATGTAAAAACTGAAAACATTTCAAATATATCAAAAGGCATAAAACTGCAGATTCAAGAACCTTAACAAAAGCCAAACAGGAGAAAATCATATGAATCAATGCTCAGACATACTATATTTAAACTATTGAAAAGAAAGACAAAAAAATATATTTAAAGCAGAAAGAGAAAAATGACACATTATATTTAAGGTAATAATCCAAATGACTATGAATTTCTCATCAGGAATCAAGGAGGTCATAAAGAAGTGCACAGCATCTTTAAAGTGCTGAAAGAATTGTCAACTCAAAATAATATGCCCAGCAAACATAGCTTTCAGGA